TTCTTGGTGGCAACCTTATCACCATTACTTGTCTTCGATGTGGTGTTATTGTTTATTGTGCTAGAGTTATTGTTGTTAAGAGTGAGTGGCCGTCTTGGAGGCATGCGTTCATTAACAGCATCCAAACCTTTAGCTTCAGCAAATGATGAAATTTGTGGAGTAGCGCCGAGACCTTGGAGTGCTAAAGAGAGATATTTTTGTTTATTAAAAGTTTAAAACTTTAAAAACAAAATAAAAAATACCGCTGTGCAATGAATCTCTGCCACCTGATAAGGCACCAACTGGTAAGGCACCTGTGGGTGTAAGCCCTTTAAGTTGTAAGACACACTCAGATTCTTCCCTAAAAGTAATATTGTGGGTATTGAAAAAAAAATTTAGATATGTTAAAATTATTATGCTTCACCTTAACACTGAAAAGACTCGAGACATTTTTCCTATAGCGCGTATCTTGTTTTTTATGACCTCCTTACGTAGTGCGGAAACTCCAGTTGCTATAAAAAGATATACAACAAATTGCTTACTATAATTACCAGAACTTCAACATACAAAAAAAAGCTTAAGTTAAAAAAGTACGGGTACATACATACAAACGCAGGTGTGTGCACGTTAAAAGCTTTGCAAGCTTTTCTACATTTTTGCTAATGCTTGAAAAACGTCGCGTGAAGCTTTCAAATGCTATGTTAAGCTTTACACAAATATACATAGAAAAATTATACACTTAAAAATATATTTATTTAGTTAGCATATAAACTTGCATTTTACCACAGAAAAATTATATTTATCATTAGCAGTAAGCACTAAGTTCTCTGATTCAAAGCCTTTTGATTCTAAGCCTTTGGCCTAAAAGCATTAACTAATTTAAGTAAATTTTTTACTGGTTCTTACCTGGTTTGGGCGGTGCATTATTTGAGTTCAATGGCACAAGAACAATTTTTTTGCGCAGTTCTTGTTACACCAAATATATTATATATAATATATATATATTTTTGTACATACATACATATATTTTTAAGAAAGAGAAATTATGTTTTTAAAAAAATGTGTGTATTTAGTGTTTAAAAGATATATTTTTAATAATGGAGATATATATTAGATATTCAGTATACGAGTATTCTAAAATAGTACAACACTTAAAGCAATAGTTTCAATAAACAACATTGATTCAGTTATCTGAGACAATATTAACGAATATATAATATAAAAATTGTTCATTAAGTATTTCGTGTAACCGATAAATATATACATATCTTATGATATATAAACTGAACTGAACCCTGAGAAAATGTCACTAAAAAGTGCTTATTGTTTATAAGTTACTAGTAGGCTTAGGTAAACATAGTGATATTAGGGATTTAATTAATCTGCTGGTCCACTGTGCCTTAAACTTTCAAATTATTTAAAATTATTTCAAAATTTTAAAGGTTTTGAAAAGGCCTTTTTTTTAAAGGCTTTTCAAGTGTAGGTCTAAGTTCCTCTTGAGAATACGTACTCATATTGTTCAAGCTATATAATGCATGTATTGAAAATGACTTAAATTTCAATAAACATTCACCATAAATGATTGAATTTTTTGTAAGCATAAAATATGCTTAAAATGTATAATATTTAATACTGTTATGAATAGTTTTTTATAATTCTCATTTAATTTGCTGAATAATTCCTGTAAATGGAAACGATTTTTATTAGTAAGTGTTTACATTTTAATGAAAATTTATGAAATGGTCGTTCAATGTTTTATCGTTATACAATTCTTTCTCTTGTTTTGCTTTAAATTAAATTGAAAAATATTAATCAATATAAACGTGTGAATGGTTTTTAAATCTTTGAATCCCACTTAAGTTAAAAATAATAAAGATCTGGTTATAGATCTTACAAAAAATTTCGATGAAGTTAGGGTAGGCAAATATCAGTTTTAACTCTATAAAAAAAATGCTCTATTTCAATTATTTTTTAAATTAAAAAGATTAAGGTGTGAGTATACTGTTTTCATTCATGAGATTTTTGCAAAATAAAATTACATTTATACATTTAAATTAAAAAAATAAAAATTCAACATAAGTTCATATATTTTTATTTGAGAGTAACAATAGAAGAGGAATTTTTAGATATTTCTGTGTTATATTAAAATGAGATAAGTACAACTTAGTGTTACAAAATGTTTTAATATAAATGAATATATTAATTTCATACAAATTATAATTATATTTATTAAATGTATAACCGTATTATATTAGCATAACCTCAAAAAAGGAGGCCCATAAAATATTAAGGCTCGGCAAGTACTCCAATTGCAACAGGAAAAAGGAAGATTTAGTATCCTAGCATATTTTACTAATCTGTTGTGATCTGTGAGGAAATCTCTCACAATACTGATATTTCAATGAGAGTATTGGATTTCCTTTTTATTTTTGTTTTTTTTTATTTTTATTTTAATTGTGAAAAAAATCAATTAACGTGCCTAAGGATTGATTAAAAAAACTGGGATTAGCAAAAAAACCAAATAAATAATATGATATGATAAATGTTACTGATATTGAAACGAATGATTACATATTCTTAAAATTCATATCTTCGAATTACTTATACCTTCAATAGATTATTGTCGGCGTAACTTCGAGAGGGAATAATGTATAATATTACAGTTTCTACAATGTAATGTCTACAATGTAATTTCTATTACAGTTCAATGTAATAAAAATTTGTTAAAATGATCGACTTAATTTAACTCATACAGAGTTATTATATTTTCGTAATAATTCCCAAACCTAATTAAAGAACAAATTGACAAATTATCTTGAAGCTATTTGAGTCATTAAACTTGAGCACTTTTACTCTATATGAACTCGAAGTATCTTCAAGACCCCTCTTTACGCCTTGACTGGATTATTATTTATCACTTCATCAGACTAAGCAATAATTGACCTCAGATCTGCATACCTCTCCGAGGAGCCTGTAACAATTCTGAGATTCGATAACGCGGTGTTGATAAGTCTGTCAGTTTTCGCAAATAATTTCAGGGCTCTATCATTTATGTAGATAAAGGATTATTATTCTGATATGATATAGAAATCAATAAACTATTTTTCAAATTAGAACATATTAATTAGTTCTGTTTGTAATTCTAATTAAAATTTTAATTGACATGTATTAAAAAATAAGCTTAACAAATTAGATCTTAAGGATTTGAATAATAATTATAAAAGAAATTATTAAACTTTTATTTCTAATTTATCGGTTACAAATAATCGAATATATAAATCTAAAAAATTATATTATTAATAAAATGAATGCTCACCTTCTTCCAATTCATCGTCTGGCCCCGAAACAAGTTCATCATCTGAGCAAATATTCAATATATTCACGAGCATATCAGTGACCTAAATCAAACAAAGAAATCAGCTGATATATTCACATATTGTATATATAATATATAATAATTTTGAAAAATTTCAATTTTAATAATTTAAAAAAATCATTTCAAAATAAAACTGCATAAATCGTTGGTATTTCATGCTTGATTTACCTTCTCGCCAACGAATGGCAATGACCACGTAAATACATCCATAAAATTTGGCAACCAATAGGGATGGGGGGAGCAATTAAATTGGCGTATGTTCATAACGTTATTCTCATATTTAAGTACAGCTGCCTTTTGTCAAATGACATTTGTGTTAATTATAACGAAATTTAAAAATAAATTAATAAAAATGTTATATGCAATACAATCACGAATAATTTTCAGAAATTATTAACGATAAAAATACTAAATACCTTATTGTTATATACGTCTAAATAATTGGGCGCCGAGAAAATTGTTATTAACGAAGGGAACCCAGTCGCTTGATTCTTACGATACATACGATAGCTATAAAATATATGAAATCATTTATATAAACGTTGTTTTTAAATTAAAAATATTAAAGTTAACAAACCCAGCATCTTGAGCTTCATGGGCACGGACTACGGAGAGTAAATTATTTTTTGACAGGAACTCACAGCATGCATTGTAACTGTTAGAATATTTAATAAAATTTTTTTATTTTCTTTTTATTTTTTTTTTTTTTATATTATTAATATTTTATTAAAAGTTCTTTTTCTTTTTATTAATATTTTTTTAAAACATATAATATATCTCTTTATAAAACTTAATTCTATTTTATTTTATCTAAGGAAATTATTTTATTTACTTAAGAAATATGAAAATATTTACCTAAAAAAAAATGAACAACCTCTAACTGAGTTGTGTGTAAAGTAATCGGAATTCTTTTCATTACCAAAATCCTCTAATGGATCCGACCATAGTAGATCACACATTGGTCCATAAGCTGGTGGTTCTCTGAATCTGTCGAGCTATACAATTTTATAATTAAAATTTTTGATAAATAATTTTAACACAATAATTTTTGAATTAAATTATTATATTTAATTAATATAAATTTAATTTATAAATTTAAATATTTAACACAAATTAATATTTTATTTAAAAAAACATTTTTTATAATTCTATATATTAAATAAATGACCTAAGCCCGGTTTAAATCAAAAAACTTATTGGAAATTGAATGCAAGAGAAATTTTTGGCTGGATTGGTTACACCTTACGAAAGCTGTCAAGTAGAAAGCAGTAGAAGAAGAGGAAGGCCTAAGATTACCTGGCACAGATCAACACTAAACGTAATCAATAGGCAATCCACACACCTTGGCAGATCATACATCCACATTGTTAAGCTCATATAAGTGGCAGTAGGAAGGCAAAAATGGAGGCAATTTGTAGATAGCCTATGCCCAGTATAGAAGCAGCTTAGAATCATGTGGAGCCAAGCAAGACTTAATAATAATAGTAAATAATAGAATATTACATTTATTAATTATTATTATTTAAACAAATTTTATGTAATGTGTTTATCAATTTTTTTTCTTTACTTTTCAAAGTTGTTAGTTGCAACTTGAAAAACCTTACCCTGAAAGCATCTAGGGACTTATTAAAGAATAATTAACAACTTGCAGTATCGTATCCAAATTTTTTTATACTAAACTTAAATTTTTACTATTTTTACTATTTTATAATTTATATTTTATTAATAATTACCATAATTTTTTTATGTAATTATTTGCATTACACATAAGAGTCCTAAACATAATAAATTAATTTAATTAATTGCTTAATTTTTACTATACCTTCTTTATATCGTCCAGTGTAAAAATTTCTGGTGATAGTCCACCATGTATGCAAAGGAACTGCTGATTGAGCAGCGCAGCAAGGGGCAGACAATCGAAAGCTTCCATACAGGCATCATACACACGTTCAGAGTATTTGATTTTACCTGTAATATATAATATCATATATCATATGTCGTATATTATATATAAAATTTAACTTTCATTCTTACATTCTGTTTTAAAAGTGAAATATTCTGTTAAGTGTCGGCATTCGTGATTACCTCTTAATAAGGATAATGTCGTAGGATAACAGATTTTTAAAGCCCATAAATACAAAACACACTAAAATGATATATTCAAAAATGTTTGTTATTAATTGTCTGATTGCTTTACTTTAGGCATTCCCAACCTCTATGCTAAAATAACCTCTATCGACATAATCACCCAAGAATAAATAACGCGTTGTCGCAGGTGGTCCACCAACTTCAAATAATTTTACTAAATCAAAAAATTGCCCATGTATATCACCACACACTGTGATTGGTGCTTCGACATCTATCATATTTTTTTCACTCCTCAGTATTGCGGCACCTTCATTTATAATCCGTAATGCTGGCTCCTCTTCTATTCTACCTTCAAGTTGAAAGTGTTGCCTCAAGGCATCAAAATTTGGTTTACCAGTTTTTGAGTCATAGACTTCATCCATTGTAAGTTTATGTACGGGTGCTAGTGGAACATCTGTAAAAATAATATTTAATTAAATTATTAACTGAATTTATATTATTTTATTTAAATAATTTTATTTCTTAAATAATAAAATCTATGTAGGAATGTGAATATTTTACGTTCTGTGTCAAATCAAAAAACGGTATGCTAAATATGTGTTTAGTTCATTACTAAGTAATTGCTATTTTAAACTCTGGTTAACTTTAACCAAAACATTTAACTGAAAAACATTTCACCGTTTATTGTTTCTGCTGGGTATAAGACGATCTATATTATTCTATTATTCTATATTATTCTAAGTTCAATATATCTTAGACTTTAGTATACATAGGGTTGCCATAGACTTTAATATATAAACTAAATTACAAAAAATTATGAATAATTATTATGAAAAATAATGCCACAGTTTCAGCTAAGTTTTAACCGGAAAATATTGAGTTAGGTAAAGTAACTGGAAATATTATTAACCGGTTGATTTTCTTTGGTTAACCGATGATTGAAGTTTCTTTGATGTATTTTCTTCAATTTACTCTGATTTTCGTTTGGATTCATGTTTTTCAAAGTAGAAATTTTTTTTCTACAATTATATGTATTAAATAAAGCTATTTAATTATAAAATTGTATGTAATAAGTTATAATGATAGAATAATACAGATTAAAGACATTTTTTTTGTTTTGTGAGTTAGTTGTGAGGAGGTGGAATGCTTTATGCACCGTAAAACCAATCGTCGCCGGAATAATGTGTCCGACTCCTATTTTGTAATATACGAACTAAAACACCTACTCTACTTTGGGATTTCTCCGCTTTCGCATTACTTCAGGGAGGATCCCTTATAAGTTGACCAAATGCTTCTCGTAAAACCTGTCTACAGGCTTCCACTCCTGATCAGAATTGGAATGTCATCAGATTGCTCTTCGTTTTAGATTAGTTTGTGTCTAGATCTTTCTTCTTTTCCCTCTGTTTATTTTCGATGAACTGTGTGATTTTGTTCCAATTTTCTGACGAGCAGAAAATTTCTGTCATTTTTTTACAATATTCTTGACTATGAAGTGACCTACATATTCTGCAAGTAGTGTTCTTTTTCCATGTCATCTTTCGCAGTTGAAGAAAGTATGTGCAACATTGTCCTCGATGGATTTGCAGTATATACAGTTGGGTTGCTCTGCTTTTTGCATTCTGTATAGATATTTTCGAAAATATCTATGACCAGATACGAACTATGTGACATTATAGGAACTTTCGGAATTTCAATAAAATATAATATAATAATATATAATACTATAAATTAACATAATAGTAAAATAAAAATAATCAGGCCTATCTGAATCGCAAGGGACATGGGAGTTGTTCCCTTTCCCAATCTCCCCTATTCTGGACAATAATTTGGTATCTTCCCTGGTCCAATTCCCATCTATGTCTAATCGCATGAAGAAATGGGAGTTTTTTCCTAATTTATGCACAATTTTGTTGTGTTCAGAAAACTGCTGTACCTGCCTAGCGATTCAGACATAGGAGCTGTGTGTTCGGGAACAGCGTGGGAATAGGGAGTTTTTTCGCTGGGAGTATTCAGAATAGGCCTGAATATAAATAAAGACAAATTAAGTTTTCTTTAAACTTAATAAATAATATAAAAATATTATTATTAATTATAATTAAATTTAAATCACAATTTTAATTTCCATATATGATTTAAAATATTTTAGTGTAAAATATTTGTGACCCGCACTGTTAAACCAATGATATAAACTTTCAAGACATTTTGTTAGAAAAATTAAAATTATTAGTATAATTCTGACTACCACTATCACTATTTTGAAAAATAGTGAATGAATGGAGCAGACTCTTAAGAAATATTTTCGGTATACCACTCAGTGAATTTAAAGACTGGTTAAGAGACTGGCCTTAAAGGAATTTAAGAATAGGAAATAAAGATTTTAAAAAACATCATTCAAAAAACCTTGTTGTGTTGGTTGTCAAAAATTTGATAATCATCAAATTGATTATATTTTTGATAGTTCATGGGAGAAAATTAGGATCTGAGTATCTAGTGAAGAGTTTTGTTTGAAGTTTCATATATATTTTTTTGATTTGCTTCAGATTATAATTAACAATTTATATCACAAATTATATAAAATTATATATAGTGTTAAATTGGAATTATGTTAGGGTGCTGCTTGAAAGAATAGACTATTGCAAGCAATGAATTAAAATGTTTATTATTTATATAGTCAGTTTAGTATATTAGTTTTAAATATTGTTTTTAATTTTTGGTTAAATTTCAACTAAAGACATTTTAATTTTTATAAAAATAAAAAAAATTTCTAAAATCTGAACGGCTTTTTTATTTTTAGGAATTCAATTGCCTTAAAATGTCACACTTCAATATAAAATAAATTAAGTTTTTCACAAGGTTAAAATAATATTTTGTTTGATTTATTTATTTTAATTAAATGGTCATAGTAAATTTTTACTTTGTGCCGATAAATGACAAAGTCAAGTAAAATTTATTAAAGTGCATATAAGCAAGGAAAATACGAAACGTTTTTCTAGTCAAAGACGCATCGTTTTGAACTCACATGCAACCAAGAGTACGAAAAGATACTCGTCTATAAACAAAAATATATATAAAAATATACAAAAATATTATTAACTTTGCACATTAGAAGCACAGAAAGCATGTGTTTTTATTTATATTTTATTTATATATCTGTCATTTCTGTTTTTGTTGTGATTTCGTTTGTTTTTATTGTAGTTTTCACACACTCAAATATGAGGCGAAAACCACAAAAAAATCAAGAGTAAATATTCATTCACAAATAATTTAAATTTAATTTTAATTTTAATTTTGTGTATTTTTAAATTTATTTATTTTTATTTATGTTTATATTTTTTATATATTTTTTGTTATTTTTTGTTTGATGAGTACATGTATCATTTTGTGGAGAGTGGGATTTCGTTGAGTTAATTTAAGCGTTTGACTGGCAAGGAAACGGAAACATCTGAACTAAAAGTTTTCAAAATTTTTCGGAGAAAAAATGTTTGAGTTTATGTTTTTAATGTTTTAAATTTAACCCGGAAACGAAAAGTAAAACATTTATTTTATAAAATTATTTAAACTATAAAAAAAAATACCTAAATTCAATATATTGTATTAATATTTATAATATCGAAATAATATTTCAAAAAAAATGCTGTTAAAAATCAATAAAAATCAATGTTGGAGTAGATAATTAATAGGCGATTAAACGGTTGACTCTTCTCAATGAACTAGGAGCCTGTTTGATTGTATTATTATTGAAAAGAAAGACCTTAAAGATCTATTGCGCCCCTTAGTCGGATTAGAGCGATTCTCCAAGTCCGATTTCTTTAATAAGTTACAGTATCTTTCTCTTTCTATCTAGTATCTAGCCTATCTTTTCTAGTCTTGCATCCTTATGATCCATAAAATACCCGCCTAGTTGTTTCTTCTTTTACGCATCAGTGCCGGGCATTCCCCAAGCACATGCTTTGCAGTTTCTCTCTCTTCTGCACAGAAACTGCAGTTTGAGTTGGATTGAATTAATAACTTCGATAGGTCAATAATCAATCGATCAATAATTCCACAATAAACCTTAGGTTATTTTTTGATTGTGCTATGCAAACTTTAAAGCATTTTAGCTTGTAAGTCCCTAAAATTATTTTCGATTGTGATAGTCTTGGTAGCATTTCCTAATAGAGTTCTTTTTCTTTTTTCTCTGCGTCATAAAAATGAATAGAGTTTGATTGTAAATAGCCCATAACTTCGAACAGAGAAGTGGATGTTTTTATTAACAATTTAAGCAAGAAAACTTTTTTGCTTTGTTAAGAAACAAAACTTCCAGGGCTACATATGGCAGTAAATTAGGCAAAATAAAGCGAAAGCAAGTGTTATATATTATCAGGCCAGCTCTTAAAAGAAACTCTAAATTTAATCGTTATCCAGCAGCGTAATTATTAAAGTAAAGAAGAAAGGTCGATGTCGAATTATTATATAGATTCCAACAAAATAATATTCACAAGAGTGGTAAAGGATGAAGTTAATGAACTAAAAAAGAAGTATTTTTTATTTCAAAGGTCTATTTAATTCTTTTAAATAAATATCTAACAAAGTTTTCATGTTAATTCAATAATTTTCAACGTTTCTTATGCTTGACATTTTATAAACTTGTCTCTAAATAGTAATCATCTACCATGGGTGTTATAGAGGTGTGCATTAAGTCACGGGTGTCATACTACTTCTATTGACAACGCTTTCTGTTTACATAGATACGTAGTTTTTGTAATTACACTACCCATATATACTAAATAATTTTAAACTGTGTACTAAATATGGAACATACTGATCAAATATATTAGTACATTTATCGTATTAGAATAGAACACCTGAACTCTTTGGTTCGAACGACTTAATATTCCTTACTATGATTGTCATAATTATAGGTGTGCGAATCTAATAAGTACTCATAGTTATGAATCTAATAAGTACTCATAGTTTATTAAAATAAAAATTTTAATACTCGATAAATATTTCTATAAATTCTATAATTTTTTCTAAAAGTCACATGAACTTTTTAATTTAACTAAACATTTACAGATATTATAAGTACAGACAATCCAGGGGTTCAAAAATTAGCTTAATAAATATATTAAATAATTGTATATTATAAATA